TCTGCCGTTAATCTGCTTTTCCTGAAGTCAGGCAGCGATGTTAGCAGCACGCTCCTCTCAAACTCTTTAATGTTAAACATGAAGAGGTTTCGATCTTAAGCTCAGCTCCTGAGGTCTCCGTTTGTGCCGCCCTGCAGAGAAGCTGTGGATGGCTCCAGAGCTGCTCAGGATGGAGTGTCCTCCTCCTCAGGGAACCCAGAAAGGAGACGTCTACAGCTTCGGCATCATCCTCCAGGAGGTGGCGCTTCGACGAGGAGCCTTCTACCTGGAGGGAGACCCGCTCAGCCCTAAAGGTAGGTAGCTCTGAGGTTCCTGCTGCAGGTGTGCAGCTTTAAAGGCTGATGGTGCACACCTGTAGGTGTGCGTGTCGGGTCATGTGATCGGCGTCGACCTGGTTTCAGATTAAGCCGCGATCCTGCTGGGATGAATCAGAGCAAGCAGCACGTCCACGCTGGTTCCTCAGCCGCCTCTCAGGTCATTTCTGCGTTCGCTCCAAACCACAGAAAGCGCTTCACGCTGCACGCTGAGCTCTGCTGCTGCACGCTCACAGAGCAGCTGGGGAGCAGAAGCTGTTTACCTGCTCTCTGCTCAGGTGCGTGCTCCGGCAGCGGCGAGCCTCATCACCGCTAATGACCTGGCCTCTGATTTATTCGCACGGAGCACACTGGACGTTCCCGTCTCTGCGCTTCCATTCATTAGGACTCGGCGTCTGTGTAGCTGGTCGCTCTGGTACGACCTGCTGTCGCCATGGGAACCTGCATCATGCTGACGGGGTTGCTAACAGCACAAGTCTGAAAAGGATTTTATGTTATTTATAAAGAAGTCAAATAAAGTGTTACACCATAAACCGTCGCTGGGATCATCGTCGGCTGTTCTGTTTGTCTCGTACGGACGCTCGTGGTCACTTGTTTTACTGCACAGTCTGCTTTCAGTCACAGATCAAATCCATGTTTAACACCAGTTAAATGTATTACTTTAAGGTTGCGTTAAACAGGATGGTGCTCAACACATTTCATGAAACATGTTTTTAACTCTGCTGACATTTTTACAGAGACTGTGCTGCTCATCCTCGAGCAGCTCACGTGTGCACCAATGCCAGCGCTCCACCTGAAATCACCAATGAGCTGGTAGTTTAAGGTTCACTGCGCTGAATGTGCTGAACTGTTTCTGTGCAGAGATCGTGGACCGCGTGATTCTGGGGGAGTGGCCCTGCCTAAGGCCGACCATCGACTCGCAGAGTGACCGCCCCGAGCTGGGTCAGCTGATGGAGCGCTGCTGGGCCGAAGAGCCGACGGAGAGACCCGAGTTCAACCAGATCCGAGTGCTGCTGCGCAAACAGAACAAGTAAGACCTGAAACCGCGAGCAGAGCGGACAGCGGGCAACTTCAGGGTGGTGCATCAGTGACATCCTGTGGCCACACAGGGAACAACACCCAAAACTGCATTTGTGTGTTTACAGAGTGAAACATCTCCATCTGAAAGACCTGGATGGCTGCTAACTTTCTGCTTCTTAATTCAGATCAAACTGAGGTTATTGTACTCGGCCCTGAAAATCTTAGAAATATGGTATCTAAGCAGATTCTTACTCTGGATGGCATTACCTTGGCCTCCAGTAACGCTGTGAGGAACCTTGGAGTCATTGTTGACCAGGACATGTCCTTCAACACACATATTAAACAAAGATGTAAGACTGCGTTCTTCCATTTGTGCAACATCTCTAAAGTTAGAAATATCCTGTCTCAGAGTGACGCTGAAAAACTAGTTCATGCATTTATTACTTCCAGGCTGGACGACTGTAATTCATTATTATCAGGAAGTCCTAAAAACTCACTGAAAAGCCTTCAGCTAATCCAAAACGCTGCAGCAAGAGTCCTGACAGGGACTAGAAAGAGAGAGCAGATTTCTCCTGTTTTGGCTTCCTGTTAAATCCAGAATTCAAAATCCTGCTCCTCACATACAAGGTCTTAAATAATCAGGCCCCATCTTATCTTAATGACCTTGTAGTACCATATCACCCTATTAGAGCACTTGGCTCTCGCTCTGCAGGCCTACTTGTTGTTCCTAGAGTATTTAAAAGTAGAATGGGAGGCAGAGCCTTCAGTTTTCAGGCCCCTCTTCTGTGGAACCAGCTTCCAGTTTGGATTCAGGAGACAGACACTATCTCTACTTTAAGATTAGGCTTCAAACTTTCCTTTTTGCTAAAGCAGATAGTTAGGGCTGGACCAGGTGACCCTGAATCCTCCCTTAGTTATGCTGCAATAGACGTAGGCTGCCGGGGGATTCCCATGATGCATTGAGTTTTTCCTTTCCAGTCTCCTTTCTCACTCACTGTGTGTTAACAGACCTCTCTGCATTGAATCATATCTGTTATTAACCTCTGTCTCTCTTCCACAGCATGTCTTTATCCTGTCTTCCTTCTCTCACCCCAACCAATCACAGCAGATGGCCCCGCCCCTCCCTGAGCCTGGTTCTGCTGGAGGTTTCTTCCTGTTAAAAGGGAGTTTTTCCTTCCCACTGTCGCCAAAGTGCTGCTCATAGGGGGTCATATGATTGTTGGGTTTTTCTCTGTATGTGTTATTGCAGGGTCAACCTTACAGTATAAATCGCCTCAATGCGTCTGTTGTTGTGATTTGGCGCTGTGTAAATAAAACTGAACTGATAGTAAAGTGGACACGAGCCCACGCTTGGTTTTTGCCCACCCAGAACACCATGTGTGTGTTTTCAGGGAGTCACGGACCAACATCCTGGACAACCTCCTGTCCCGGATGGAGCAGTACGCCAACAACCTGGAGGAGCTGGTGGAGGAGCGAACGCAGGCGTACCACGAGGAGAAACGCAAGGCCGAAGCCCTGCTGTACCAGATACTACCACAGTCAGTACTGCAATTACTGCACACAGTGCGGCTCTACAGTAAACATACCCTCCTTCTCCTCAGGTGCACCTTTGGACATCTTCCTCACAGCTGGGTTCTGAGCATGTGCAGTTGTGCGTGTGATGTATGGGCCGCTCGTCTATGGCGTTATTTTTGTGCGTCTATTCTGAGCGCATGTAAATAAAATGTTTGCAAGTACAAATGTTGCATTTTGAGGAGAAAATTATTTTGCACGAAGCAAACTCATCGCTGCATGCAGGAAATGTGTTTCAGTGTTTGCTAATGTCCATAAACACACAGTAACAGCCGCTCTGTGTGCTCACAGACGTCTGCAGACCTGCTCTCAACATCTCTGCACGCTCATCTCTCTGTACAGCGTTACAAATGTGCCACAAAACGAGCCAATCACAGACTTGGATGCAAAAATTCTGATTGGCTGTTTTGGTCTCCAATCAGCTCGACAGCTACTGCGTTCCAGAAACACGGTCCAGAGTGTAGCCAAACCCCTTTGCAGTTAGTATGTTTAATTATTTGTTTTTAAATATAGACTTTTTAAAGAGCATTGTTGGTTTTAAGCTAGTTTGAACCAAACCGCTCTGCTGGATCTGGCTAGTAGCTGGTGAGCTCGTGTGTGTGACAGCAAACACTGAAACACATTTCTTGCACGCAGCAATTATTTTTCTTCTCATAAAATAATTTTCTTCTCAAAATGCAACATTTGTCCTTGCAAATTTTTTTACACCAAAATAACAGCATACTCCTCCTGCCGTGTACTTTGGAGGGTCTGCTGGGTGGAGGCACAGCTGGTTGGTGTAAACAGAAAGAGGCGTTCCCCTCTTCTACTGCCCAGCTGTGCACAGGTGTGACCCTGGGATGAGTCCGCACACCTGTAGTCCCGCTCACACACCTGCGCCTCGATGCTCGAGCCTATCAGATATTTGTCTGAATGCTGGACGCAGCGCTCTTCGGCTGTGGTGACCCTCGATGTGAAGGCGGGGTCGATTTAAACATGGCGATGGTCTTGGTGTGAGTTTGAGGTCTGTGGCGACTAGAACTGATAATAACTTAAAGATTATTGATATCATTATTGATTATTGACCGTTGTATTGAGTCTCGCTGGGTTCTCATTGGCTCAGTGTTGCAGTCGTTACTCAAAAAAAGTAATCATTACACAGAATAAAAAAGTAATGCAGTATGTTACTTAATTACTCCCAGGAGAAAGTATTTGGTTTGAATACTCGTTACATTACTTGGCTGTTACAAAATAAACTGAGTCACAGTCGCACACACCAACACAGATCCTGAAGAGACTTTAAAGCGGTCGTCATGGTGATTCTATAAACATTGACAGGTAGACACAGAGGCTGCAGCCTCACCTCTTTGTTACCTGTTCAGGCTCTGGCTGCTGGGCTCAGGTCTGCATACGCGCTGCTCGTCTCTCTGGGTTTTTGGCTAGCTTAGCGTTAGCATGCCGTCTGCGCTTGCAGGCAGTCGTGTTAGCGGCCTGGATGGATCTTCCGCTTCACTATTACGCTGTCGTCCTTAGTAATGTCTGTATCCACGCTGCACGCTGCGCAGCTCTTTTCCTCCAGCACACGAGCTGACGTCAGCTGATTGTAGCTGGAGTGCAAGAACTGAAAAGCAGGTAGACCAATAATTCCAAGGAACTGGACTACTGGGAACCAGTTCTGGATTCTTGTCCTATAGTGTTGACATCAAAGTCAGCTTTGTTGTCATCTCTGCTATATGCAGTTCAGTATATAGAGAGACAGATGACGAGGCTCCAGTTCCAACAACAATAAATACAGGAAGAGTAAGAATAAATATACACTTTGAGGTAAAAAGGGTTAATAAATGTAACGTTTACAATTTATAAAATGAGATTTAAAGTGACTTTGAAGTGGTTTAAAATAACCAACATAGCAGTTTTACAGTATAAATGATTTACAGTGACCAACATGAGCAGGACTGTCCACAGAGCAGCGTCTGTGTTTACAAAGGCAGCGATGTGTGAAGTCCAGTAGAGTCAGTTACTGGTTTGTGTGGGTGTGTGTGGTGGGGGGAGTGGGGGAGCTGGTAGTGAGGTCAGGAGTCTGATGGTTTGTGGGAAAAAGCTGTCTCGCAGTCTGGAGGATCGGGCCCCGATGCTGCGATAGCGTCTGCCGATGGGAGGAAAAGAGTCCGTGTGAGGGGTGTGCACCAAGCACACATGTCAGACAGGAGCATCCAAGGTTGGATGTCCAGCAGCAGAGGTGGTGAAGGTCCCGAGGTGCACACGGACATTTTTTATGGGCGGAGCCCCCTGCTCACACACTCATGGCGCCGTATTGTCTCTCTGTCAGTTCGGTGGCCGAGCAGCTGAAGCGTGGAGAGACGGTTCAGGCTGAAGCCTTCGACTCGGTCACCATCTACTTCAGCGACATCGTGGGCTTCACCACCATCTCCGCAGAGAGCACGCCGATGGAGGTGAGACGAGTTTACCTGAGTACTTCAGTACTTCTCACACAGCTTCCAGGTCCAAAGACACAAACACAGAAAGCCAGACGGAGAGTAGCACCGGATACCTGATCCTCCCAAATCCGAGCTTGGACTCTGAAATCGGCTCTGCGTCCTGTCACGCCGTCAGGGCTGCGTGTGACTGACGTGTCAAACGCCTGCAGCGCAGTGCAGGTGTCTTATCAGACACGCTGGTGTTTCTGCTGCAGGTTCAGACGCTGCATGCTTGCCACCATGTTAGCACGACCCTGATAAGCAGAGAACGGATGGATAAAAGGTGGAAATAGATTCCCATATTTGTACTGCAGGGATCAGTAACTCATGAGGCAGCACGATTAACGATGTCCCAGCAGACGGGGCGTCCTCGGCCGGCCGGACGCCGCTGCATACATTTACAGATTTAATCTAGAAAACTCTCCCTCACCTGTCCTTCTAAGGGTTTTTGGATAGCGACTAAGAGTATGATTTGGAATTAAAAAGGAATTTCAGTGTATTTTATTTGAAATTACAATCTAATTATATTTACCTACAAATACACACTGGGATAAGGAGGAAACCAGTCAGAAATAATTATACTGGAAGTTTAAGTAACCTGTAAGTCGTCTCAGGCAGGGCTTCATGCAGATCAATGTAATGAATATTAAATAAGGTGCTGTGATGTACAACCCTGACACCACGTGTCAGTGTTCCTGTAAGTATAAATCTATAATCACGCTGTTGTATCAAATAAAACACACTGAATTATAAAGTGTTAACATGTTCTCTCACACACTGAAAGCCAGCGGCCTGCAGGGGGCGCTCAAACACCGTCCTTCAGTCTGACGTGCTGATGTCTCTGCAGGTGGTGACACTGCTCAACGACCTCTACACCTGCTTCGACGCCATCATCGACAACTTTGACGTTTACAAGGTAAACGGCTTGTTTCTTTCCTCCGACCTGTTCTCAGGTCAGCTCTGAGCAACAGAGACCAGCTCACAATAAGGACAACTTTTAGTGCGACTCTAACTGATGTCACGGTGCTGTGGCGCCCCCAGGTGGAGACCATCGGCGACGCCTACATGGTGGTGTCGGGGCTGCCGGTGAGGAACGGGAAGCTGCACGGCCGAGAGATCGCCCGCATGGCGCTCGCCCTGCTGGACGCCGTCAGAGCCTTCAAGATCCGCCATCGACCCGAGCAACAGCTAAAGCTGAGGATCGGCATTCACAGCGGTGACAACACACACAGACTCACACACACAGACAGACTCACACACACAGACAGACTCACACTGATACACACACGTGGTGACCGCCCCGTGTCCTCTGCAGGTCCCGTGTGTGCGGGCGTGGTTGGTCTGAAGATGCCTCGGTACTGCCTGTTTGGCGACACCGTCAACACGTCATCACGTATGGAGTCCACTGGCGAAGGTACGTGCACAAAAACAGGTCATGTGACCTGACGCTGCAGTTTCAGCCTGAAACCTCTGAACTGTAACTAAGTACTCGAGTACTAATCCAGAGGGAACATTGAACTTTGATCTCTGCATTCTTCAGGTGTTCACACGGAAAATAAATGGGTTCAGATCCACGTGTTAACGATCACACTGAATACACATACGATGACCAGGTCACGTGACTTGGCGCGATAGATAGACGTGAACGAAGACGTCGCTCTGTGAATGCTGACGCAGCAGCGCCCTCTGCAGGCTGTTGCTTCCCTGTTGATGGGCTTCAGTTTAGTGACTCAGTCTGAGTCAGCTGATACTGCAGTTTTGTGCTCCATGAACAGTTTTTCTGTTACACGTGTAACAGCTGAGCTTCATTAACAGGAAGCAGATTTATTAAAGCCCCTTCAGAATAAAGTGATGTTCTTTAAATAAACAGCAGATTAGATTTTTGCAGGTTGGACTGAAAAACCTAAAGGAGCATTTTTATTCCTGCTGCTGTTGCCAAACATGACGTGTGTGTGTGTGTGTGTGTGTGTGTGTGTGTGTGTGTGTGTGTGTGTGTGTGTGTGTGTGTGTGTAGCGCTGAAGATCCACGTGTCGGCGGCGACTCGAGACGTTCTGCTAGAGTTCAACTGCTTTCAGCTGGAGCTCCGAGGGGAAATCGACATCAAGGGCAAAGGGAAGATGACCACCTATTGGCTGCTGGGAGAGAGCGACAGCCAATGACAAAGCACTGTCAACAGGAGGACGACAGGAGAGGACGGAAGAAACGAGGAAAGGAACTGAGGAGTGAATAAGGGGTAACACCGCTACAGATGAGGGGACGAGGAAAGGACAGAAGGGAGCGCAGCTTGAAGGAAAGGAGGACTCACTCGAGCGCTCCCCGCCTCCTTGCTGCTTCCCATCTCCGAGCAGAAGGACTTTGGATGGATTGGGACTGTCGGACGAGAGGAAGTGACACGGGAACGGAGGCACACGAGGACCCGGACTCTCCTCACACTCGGATCAAAAGTGTCCTGCTTTCCGGTCCTGGAAAAAGAGTTTTTCGCCGTCGTCCCGCTGGTACTCCGAGCAGTTTGTCTCTCCACGCTGACGTTCACCATGCTGCCTCTTCTTCACTTTTATGTGGCCCTGCATTCATCATCTTCATTTCCTGTCCCTGCTGTCACTGGAGGAGGGGCACCTGGACAGAGCGCCGCCATGCTAAGATGGTGAGGCTAAGGCTAGCCAGCAGGTTTGAACCTGGAACCTCGTTGCTGTGAGTCAGCGGCGCTAACCATTAACGTGGGGTGTAATCTGAGCTCAGTACTGCCCCTGAGGCCAGACACAGGAAGCACCCACACCACAGCAGAGAGACGCTGTTTGTCCTGCCTGAGAAGCAAACACAGCTTCTGTGGGAGGAACATCTGTGCTGTAGCCCCTCCCACAACCTCTGACGTCAGCGGCTGCGGCTTTGAGCACGTTTATTTGGTGGAGCCGCACATTTAAGATGACCTCCTCCACAGTGAGGGTGAGACAGCGTAAAGTGCAACGTTAAAAATGCAGAGCTGCTCTGATTCTAGCGAGTAAAGACCAGAAGAGCCTGAACCTGCAGGGACCGACGGGAGCGCTTTATATACCTGCAAAAACAACCACGCTAACGTCCTCCTGCTTCCTCTTTGCCTCTTGTTTTCATGTGACGTCCATGACAGGAAGAACACCTGATAGGGCAGAAAAGCAGGAAGTGATGTGGGTTAGCTTCCTCGGGGGAGACTCGGCACAGCTGAGCTGACGGAGGCTGTTCAGCAGTTTGCTCTCTGTATATAAATCAGTTTCACTGCAGTGAAGTCGAGTTTGTTTCACCTGATTTTGTTCGATATCCCGACGGGACGAACACATCGGATCGGCCAGAGAGACAAAGGAGTCAATCTAATCTGTGAACTACAGCGTTCTCCAAATATCATCAGTGAGGAAAAAACGGTCAAAGTTTCAGAAGCATCAGTGTTTTTATCACACATGGTGAAGTGAGGAGTGAGCGCGGGCCCTCAGCTGCGTGCTGTCTGTTTGCATCCCTGCAGCCAGGAGCTCCTGACTCAGGCTCGTATACCACAGAGGACGCTGTGCATCAGAAAAACGCTGAAGCTAAAAACAAAGCGCTGAGTTTGGGGACTGTTCTTCAATAAGCGACCAGATCAGCGTACGTCACCTCGCAACGATCAAAGAATCAACATGGAAACCGCGCTGCCGTTTCAGAGCCCGAGAGGAACAAAAGACTGCAGAGCTGCAACGTGTCCGAGCACACCGTCGTCTTCTGCAGCTGCTCTACAGCAAACGCACATCTGTGAGGCGCCGTCACAAACAGCTGGAGAACATCAGAGACTTTCACCAATCAGTGTTGAATGGATCATTGTAACATCTGCACATGTTTCAGATCATTTAAAGTAATTTATATTCTGTTTGTTGAAACTAGATCAATGTATTTTAATCCCACCATCGTCTGAATAAAAGCCTCGAGCTGTGTGTGGTGTGGTTAACTTTGATGTCTGAGAAATTCAAGTGAAAAAATGAAATCATCTCAAATTAAACTTTGCTTCCTCGCTAATGCTAATGCTAGCTGTGTTTCCACAGGAAGTGCAGATTGTAGCTGACGTCAGAGGACACTCGCACACTTTCACCAGTTTACAGTCAAACACCTCCAGTTTAGGTCCCGCCTCTCAGCTGGGATGGACCCGTCCATACAGTGGACACAGCTACAGAGATAAGCACAGCTTTTGATGACAGCAGGCGACTGCAGGCACAAGATGGCGGTAATGTGAAGGCCAGATCAGACGAGTGACGGCGCCGTCTTTGTGCTCGCCGCGTTGCTTGTGTCGCGAGCGTCACGTGACGACTTTCACATCACATTCTGGGTCACAGTCTGTAGCAGTCCCCCGGACCAAGGAAGAAATAGAGAGAGCCTCGACGGGTGCAGTAATTTTTACTTTGAGATTCATTCAGAATCTAACAGTGCGCCAATGCACCGTGAAAACTAAACAGAAACACAAAATACATTTTCTTAGACGCTTATTACAAATATGAACTCAAATAAAGCAGAAAATACAACAAAATATACAACAAAATATCAATTAAGCAAAGAAATACAACTTAAAACATGTACTTCGCTCCGCATTCCAAGGGCTGCAAATTGTTAATTCCGCTAGAGTCCGGTATCACGCTGCTTCACACTTCATTGAGAGCTGCCTACTGGGACACGTGCGCCACAAAACCGGTCTGAGCTGGAAGTGCAGCTTGCCGCTAACTAAACAACAGAGCCCTCTACTGGACACTACGCGTAGCTGTTCAGGCTTAGATCAATAAACAAAACTGGACATTTACACTCCCACCAAATCATGTATAACAAACAACATTCTTTACATGATTTCCAGCTTTAACATATGGACATTACTACAAGAACGAACACAATTTCAAATACATCATCAATAAACTTTCGCAAATACGCCTGATGTGACAGTATTGATTGAAACATCAATTAGTTATTTTCTAATAGAACTACAAGCTTTTGAACAGGTCGCTCAACTACGTGAGGTTTGTGTGCTGTTCCCTGCTTCTTTACTAAGCCTCGATCGCCAACTTGAAGCTTGACTCTGCGGACCAAACCGTCATCTTCTTCTGGTGCTTCAACCACTCGAGCCAGTTGCCACTGATTTCTGGGAAGCATGTCTTCTTTGATAATGACTATGTCATTGACTTTAAGATTTCGACGTGGTAGGTGCCATTTCTGTCTCATAGATATGTTCAGAAGGTACTCTCTTTTCCATCTACTCCAAAACTGCTCAGTGAGATACTGGACTCTGCGCCAACGTTTCCTTGCATATAAGTCCTCTTTCACAAACTTTCCTGGTGGAGGCAGTGCAACCTTTGATTTCATCAATATGAGGTGATTTGGAGTTAGAGGTTCAGGAGATTTAGGATCATTGATTCCATCGACGCTCAGTGGTCGACCATTAACGATAAACATCGCCTCATAGAGTTCTTAGAGAGCTGTCATCCAGCCTGCCTTGGCATTGAGCAATGGTGGCATTGAGAACATTGCGGATGGTTCGAATCTGTCGTTCCCACACACCTCCAGCATGGCTAGCAGATGGGGCATTGAAGACGAACTCACACTGTTTATTGGCAAGGAATGCTTCTAAGGCATCTGTGTCACATTGTTTAAGAGACTCTCTTAGCTCATTTTTGGCTCCAATAAAGTTTGTACCCTGGTCACTGTACAACTTACAAACAGCTCCTCTTAAGCTGATGAAACATCTCAGAGCGTTGATGAAAGAGTCAGTAGAAAGATCCTCAAGCATCTCAATGTGGACTGCACGTGAGGAAAGACAAGTAAAGAGGAGTCCGTATCTTTTATGCTCTTTGCGACCTTGTTTTGTGACAAATGGTCCGAAACAGTCCATTCCACAATACATGAAAGGATCTGATTTTTCAACTCGTTCCTTTGGAAGTTCAGACATGCGTTCTTCTTCTGGTGAACGTCTTAGTGTTCGACATTGAACACATTTGCTTATTAGTTTCGCAACTTCCTTGCTCCCACCAATCACCCAAAACCCACTCGATCTGATTTCCATGAGAGTTTGGCTTCTACCTTGATGACAAATCTGTGCATGAAAATGAGCAATGATCAACTTTGTAATGTGATGGTCTTTCGGGAGGATGATGGGGTGCTTAAGTCCCTGACAGAGTGTTGACTTCTTCAGTCTTCCTCCAACACGGAGAAGTCCTTGATCTAGCACTGGATCTACTCTAAAGAGGGGACTTGAACTCAGAAGGTTATCTCCCACCTTCAACACTTCCATCTCTTGAGAAAAGGCCTGCTGCTGAAGGAGCTTTATTATTGTGTCAGCAGCTGTTCTCCGTTCATCTACTGTTACAAAGTTTCCATACTGGGCTTTGCTGGATCTCAATCTTTTTATCCTTGCAACCACTTTAAGGAGCATTGACCAGCTTGAAAACCTTGACAAATGGCTGAGGATATTGTCTTGTTCACTTGTTTGAGTTGTGAGAGCTTTGACTACTTTGACTTCTGGATCCCCTACTAACAACACAGCTGAGGGGCTGGGTGCATATGAAATGCCATGTTCCCACAGAAACTTTGGACCAGACAACCAACATGTTGACATGATTTCTGATGCACTGAGCCCTCTAGAGGCGTAATCTGCAGGATTCTGAGCTGTGTCAATGTAGTGCCACTGTCTGGGATCTGTAGTTTGCCTAATTAACTGAACACGGTTGGCAACGAAGACGTGGAACCGTCGTGCCTCATTATTAATATAGGCTAAGACTACTTGGGAGTCAGTCCAAAAGAACTCTTCATTAATGCACATCTGAAGCTCTGCTTTTAGCATGCTGCTCATTCTGGCTGATGTGACTGCGGCTGAGAGTTCTAATCGCGGGATACTTGTGACCTTGGTAGGTGCGACTCTTGCCTTAGCCATAACAAGACTACAGTGGACCTTCTTGTTGCTGAGGTACCTAATATAGGAGCATGCACCATATCCTAAATCACTAGCATCACAAAAGTGGTGCAGTTCCACCTTTACAATGTCTGTTAGTTCTGGTGGGTGGTAACATCTAGGCACTGCAACCGATTTTAGTCTTTCCAACCCATCTTTCCAGTCCTCCCACCGTGAACGTAAGTTGTCAGGAAGGGGGTCATCCCATTCAATGCCTCTGCGCCACAGTTCCTGTAGGATACCTTTGCCTCTTAAGGTGAAGGGAGCTATGAACCCTAGTGGGTCGTACAGGGATGAGATCACTGACAGTATGCTCCGGCGAGTAGGAGGTTGGTCCTTAGTGTTTATTTTGAAACTGAAAGTGTCATTTTTGATTGACCACTGGATGCCGAGCACATGGCCTTCAGCTGTTGTGTCAGGTTTGAGATCGAGCGGTTCTGTGGTGTCTGCTCTGTCTGAGGGTTC